CTTATATCAATGAGAGATAATGAAACATAAAGGAGCTATCAAATGTAGAAATGGGGGTTACATGTAACTCCCAAGTGAGCATCTAATGTGATAATGACAATGGTCATCCATATATCAATATTTACATAATACTTCTTTATTTTTGGATTGTTATTATTATGTAATTTCTTTAGACTATTATTTTTGGATTGTTATTATTATGTACTTCATTTAGACTATTATTTTTGGATTATTATTATTATTAACGATAAAAAAATATAACAACTACATACCAAACAACAACATCTTCAAACAAACAACAACTTTTACATGGTAAATCAAAAGAAATACAACAACTTCTATCACCTCTCAGCCACGTCTATTACCTCTACTTCCTCTTCTACCACCTCTCGCACTTCGTTGGCCACCACTCCCTCCTCGGTTGCTCCCACTCCCACTAGCTTGGCCACCGCGGGTTGATGCATTATGTCCCGCTTGGTTACAGTTGCTACACACTTGGTGTGATGCACCCTCCGTTGGCCAGTCCATCTCGTTGTGAATCCTTATAACTCGTGGTCTACCCGGCTTCCTAATCATATGCACATTAGGATGGAGAATAGGACCATTATGCTTCTTCCAACCCTTAGGTTCACCAAGAGGTGCGAAACTTGTCTCATAACAAGCCATCACTGTTTCCAGCTTGTAGACATGTTGACAAACCTATACGCATTAGCCCCCATTCGGTTGCAAGCTGCAATGGCATGAGAGCAAGGAATTTTATTTCCTTGAAATTTACCACAAGTGCAAAATCCTGCCCGGTTTTGATCGTCAAAGTGAACTGTGAGTGTGTTTAACCCCGTCATGTTGAAATTGTTGGGAGGATTCTGAACTACGTAGATGCCTTGACGTCGATCAAGAGCTGTCACAGAATGTCCAATTGCCTTTTGTGACCACGGCTTCATCAGCTCTTCGCACTTGGTGGAGTACTGTGAACTGCCACTTCTAATTTCTGCTCCTGTCTCCAACATGTACTTATCGAATTTCTCCATCAATCGCCAATAGGTATGTTACACAATAGAAACTATAGGAAGTGCACGAATACCTTTGAAAATACCATTGATGCTTTCTGCCATGTTGGATGTCAGGATAGACCAACGACGCCCACCATTGTAGTTATCATGTGCTAAACTCCAACGAAGCTGATGTTGATCCACCCAGTTATCACATGAAATATTTCTATCAGCGACCACCTTCTTAAATTGCTCAACTTGAAGATCAAACTTCTCCAACCGTTTTTCTCCGGCTAACAAAATAAACCACCACACGGGTTAGATAAATTCATGACAAGATTACATGAAAACAGATAACAAAATTAAATGAAGAAAGCTTACCGACTCGAAATAGTTGATTATACATAATTTAGCTTTTAGTCTTCCTTTGCAAATTGCTTGCATAGTGTCGCATGCACCACCTCCACTCCCAACCTCTTCTGATATTATTCATGGCTTCATAGAGTCCTGCATGTCTATCTGAGATGATGCATACATCATTTCGATCAGTCAAACCCTGAACGTTCCTCATGAACCATGGCCAACTCTCAGTATTCTCGCTCTCCACTATGGCAAATGCAATTGGAAAAATATTCTTCCGGCCATCAAATGAGCTCGCCATGAGTAGCACTCCTTTATACTTCCCAGTAAGAAATGTTCCATCAACAACCATGACGCCTGGACAATTCTTGAATCCATCTATACAAGGTCCATAAGCCCAGAATACTCGCTGAAATATTGAATGACCTGGTTGAGTCGAAGGAACTCTTACCCAATCAATCACCGATGTTGGCATTTTTCTCTTGACCACCCCCAAGAATGTTTGCAAAAAATCGTAGGATTCTTCCCAATTTCCATGCAACTTCTCCAATGCTCTTTGTTTCCCATACCAAGCCTTCTTGTAAGTAACTTTCATATTAAACTTATCTTCCAACTCGGCCTGAACAGTTAGAACACTTAGATTTGGTTGGGCACGTACCAAATGTTTGACGGCCTCAGATATCATGTCGACATCAAGATGGCGATGATCCGTCGGTTGAGTCGTACTGCTACAAGAATGCACCAACTCAGCCTTTCTCACAGTCCATTCGCCTCCAACATCTCGACATCCAAACCGCACCATCCAAGGACAATTGTCATCCTTGTGCCTCAAGCATCTGACCTTCCAGATTGAAGGTGACGACTCCACCACGCCATATTGAAAGTTGCGTTGTAGTGCGTGGTGTTTAATCGCCATCTGTGCAGCTTGTTTCGAGTGAAATATCTGCACCTTGTAGAATTCTCCTTCAAAACTATCAACAATAGGCATTGGAATTACGCCATATGAATCAGCAAGTGATAATTCTTCGTCCTCTTCATTACCCTGCAAGTAAAAAATATGGAGGATAATTAAGCTGCTCTCCTTCCTCCTCCTCCTCCTCCTCCTCCTCATCTTCCTCCCCTCCATCATCACCGTCATCATAGTCATGATCGGATGGCACGCTCCATGTATCATCTTCTTCCTCTCCACCCTGATCCTCACTGAGCTCAACATGTATCTCAGCACCCAAACAATAAGGATTTTGTGCCATAAAATTCCAAAGCACATTCAAGCTATCATCATCCACAATAGGTATTGCATAATGAAATAAAACACCATTCTGCCATTCTGGAAGACGGTAAGTGAAACCTGTGATCACATCACTATCTTTTACTACTTCGTCTCTGCGCCGTATTCTCGGGATTAGATTCTCACAAAGTTTGTGATATGTGACCCTGGATGGAACCGTCAACTGAAAACTACTACCACCAACGAATTTGACGCCCAAATTATCCTCTACTTTCTCCGATTTCCACCGAACGACTAGTTCAAATCTTCTAAAATCACTACAAAAAAACAAACTCACTAATTAAAACTAAACACAATCATAATAGCATTTGAATAATATAATTACAAAAATAAATGTGTCTCTTACCTATTAGTCATTTTTGCAGCAGCAACCAGAGCTCTCTCCTCTATTTTGGACGATTTTTTTATGGTGTGAATCTGAAACGAAATTGGCTGGGTTTTTATAAGGTGGGTGGCCAGCAATAAGCCAGCGGTGCCACCTCAGTCTCGGGCGCCACCGCCTGGGATGATTTCCCACCTACTCGCCTAGGTCTCAGGCGGTGCCGCCTGAGTCTTGGGTGCCGCCGTTGTCAAATAAATAAAACGGTCCAAAAAACAAGCTAAAGCGGCAGCGCCTGAGTCTCAAATGGTTTCACCGATTCTTTTCTCCAAAACACAATATATGTGTCAATACTTTTTAATCGGCCATATTGGTGGTAAATTAAAAAAAACAATATTTGTGTCATTCTCCCTACGTGCTGCTGGGTAACATGGTAGGGCCGCTCATCAGTTGCCACATGGCGAGCTTACAACTTTCCTTTGCCAAAGCCAACTTGAAAAGACAAAACAAAGAAAAAAAAGGAATAATGTGAGAAAGAGATTGCCAATTACCAAAAATTATTATCATATATATGTGTCTGTCTTGTTGTTTGATTAGGATATCGAGCAGTAGTTGAAGGTGTCATAGATTGTTTGGTTGGGGCATGCCGTCATGGACGTTCATGGATGCTTCTATTTGTTAATATTAAGTATCTATATGTGGGCGGCTAGTTCTGTGTACGTACGTATTAGTTAAGCCAAATTTTATTAAGAAGAAAACCCTTAATATTTTTTTTTTACGAATAATAAAAAACCCCTTAATAGCAATATATACTGTTTCGACCAAGGTGATTATTAGTTAAGTCAATTGATAACAATGATCTATGGGTTTCGATCTTATTGGATGAGGAAGATACCTATGGAAAGTTCGAGATAATTTCTTAATCTACACTCTGATACGCCAAATTAATACGGTATACACATGATGTATACACTAGCTACCGTTCCAAAACAATTAGAGAAAGTACAAAACGAATAAATTTGTTTGGCTTCATCTTCGTAACTTTAGCAACGCACAAACAACAAGAAGTGCAAAATGGAGAACATGGGTGATCAAGCTGATCGGTTACAGTTAATTTGTCCAATTTCCCTAATGACACTCACTAATCAACATATTTCATGTGCTATCTGTGTGGGATGAAATTTGGCTGCCCCCTAATGATTTTGGAATTAATTAATGACCAAATTAGATATATGTCAACGTCAACACCCTACAAAACGTTGAAGCTTACAAAATTAAAAGAAGGGAATAAATAAAGCAAGGCAAGAGTAAAACTAATTGCTGATCTATGGCCAAATGATGGTATGTTAACACCCAAAACTTAGATGAGTTGGAGTTTACACTTAAACTCAAAGATTGTACAAAATCATATATATGGTACTTTTTTATGATAAGATATTTATGTTTAAATCGTGATTCTACCAAAAAAAATTCCATTCAGATAGGAGGTACAATTAATAATAGGCAAAATACACTTTCATAGTCATAACTATTCGCGTTGTGACAAATATAGCCAAATTCTGAAAAATACACTCATATAGCCATTTCGTCCAAAACTTTAACGAGAATCCCACAACTGCTGACTGGACTAACGGATGTTTGCAACGTGACCTAGGTTCATCCACGTGGCAGTACAGGTGGAAAGAGTTTTTGATTTCATCACTAAAAAAAAGATTAAACTAACTTTACCAATTACTCGATCATGTTTGACCATTTAGATCGAATTTTAACCTTTCTCTTCTCTCATTCTTTGACTCTCCAATCAATCAGAAGCATCATCGCCATTCTTCAATTATCTTCCTCTACTCTGGAGTTCGCAACTCAGAAATCCCAAACCAGAATCTGGTATGGATGAAGAGATCTGAAGAAAATCAAAAGGGGATGAGACTGCCTACCAACCCCACACAGTTGCCTTCTTCTTCTTCTTCCTGATTTGTCGAAATCGTCGTCGTCGCATTCGTGATTAAGTCGTCCTGCAGTTACCGCAAATCGTTTCAGTTCTTATATGTCTTCGGCGAAATCATCGAACTCTGACCAAATCGTCACCTTGATGGCGGCGACGGCAACCGCTCGTTCTCTTCCGCCATTGTTATGCCCACTCCAAAGTAACTGGGTAGAAGTCCTTCCCTGCATTCCTCCACCAACCACTGTTCAACACATTTTTGCAGATCTGACGCTGTCGACTCATCCTCCCCTGCCACTGGCGGAGTCGGACGAAGAACAAGCCCCCACCACTGTCGTCGTTGCTGAAGAAGACAAAATAGAGGAATCCCCAGTTCATCCACACACATCGAGGAAACTTAGACTCGCCAAGGCAAGCTGTCAAGGAAGTGCTCTGTCCCTTACCACTGCAGTTACTCTCCTAATCTCGCCCTCTTTTCTTGATTTGGTCGTAATTCAGATAATTTTACAGAGTCGGAGCTCTGTAATCCATGGGATAGACGCCATTGATGTTCACTCCAAGGTCGGCCTCGCTTCCCAATACCCAACCATGGCAACTGGAGAAGAGAGTGACAAAGTGAATTTTTCATTTGATTTTGTAGAATGATGGCGACAATCGACGAATGAGGAATAGGGATTTGGGTTTACGATGGCGGCGATATTGATTCTAGGTTTAGGGTATGGGTGTGATTTGGCCAATCATGTTCATCGACTGAGGACGAGTTTGGTGGTGAGAAACGAAATAGATTTTGTCAAATCAAGAAGAACAAGAAGAACAAGAAGGGAGGTGATGTGCAGGTTTTTTGTGGTCTCGATTGTGAATAAGAGAGGGCGCCGATTGGATTTCGGATTTGGGAAGAAGATGGCGGAGGTAATGAGCGAGGAGTAATTAAAGGGGAACTAGTTAATTATATAATATATTTTTTAATCTGTTTGTGGAATCCAAGTCAATGCTGACGTGGCCAAACCGAGTCTAGTTGAAGATGACATGTCATCCAGATGGAAGCCATGTCACTTGGCGATGACGGCGTTGGTGATGATATTAACGGTAATGGAAATGGCTATAGTTGACAATAAAGTGTTACAAACTTTTAATTTTTGGCTATATAAGTGTAATTTTAAAAATCTGACTTTATTTATCACAACACGAATAATTATAGCTATGAATATGTATTTTGCCTTAACAATACACAATATGGTTTAGCTTTAGTCTTTCTTCATGCAGTGCCATTATGCTTTTTTACTTTGCATGGCATAAACTGACAAACCACCGTCCTGTTAACTCTAGTTTTGTTGTATTATCCGCTGAACCAATGAACGACCGTGGCCAATTTAATTATTCAAATCGCCATCATTTAGCAATTCCACGGACGACAGGAAAGCACAAGCAGACAAATCTCCTAGCAAAAATTCAGCACTCATTCACCCTTTAACATTTTAATTATTACTCTTCCTCTTGTTAATTTCAAAAAGAACACTAAAAATGAACCAATCCCCATACGAAGAAGCACAAACAGACAACACATGCAGCAGCAGGACCAACAAGCACACGCACGCAGTAGCTAGCTAGAGACATAGCAGCATAAAAACAACAAACAAACTTGATAAGAATTGACGCCACGAACTGCGAATTGCACACTTAACCAATGAATAACAATGAGAAGAAGAAGAAGAGCCAATCTATCTTGATCAATCATGATATGTTTAATAGCATATGCATGTGCAAGCTTCTCGTATCCGTCACGGCCCCACTCCCTCCTTTAGGAAGAGATTGTTTTTGGTGGTGGGTAGAATTTTGAGCGGTTGTTAATGGGATCCTTCTTCCTCCCCCACCTCTTGCTGGCCCCAAAACAACAAACCAAATCCAAATCCTGCCATTAAGATAATCGAATCAATCGCTCTCCCCAAAAAAAAAACCCCCAACTTTTCCCCTCTGCATGTGCAGAGTGCTTTCTTTCGATCGATTTCGTGTATCAGCTTCTTGGCCGGCTGTCCCTAACTCGATCGCAATACCCTTCTTCCCCCCTTAGCTTCCTAGATAACGCTAGCCGAGCCCACTCTTTCTGTTTTTTTGCTTATAAATACTGCCCATTTCCCCTCCTCTGTTTCATCACAACTAAAACAGAGTACTCTGTTTCAACACAACTAAAACAGAGCACAACACAAAACCCACAAAGGACACCAAAAATGGCAGCTCGTTCTATCACATTCTCATTCTCCCCTCTTACACTCTTCTGCTTCCTCTTCTCCCTGACGATTCTTGATCGTGTTTCGGCTGATTACGGCGGCTGGCAGTCCGCCCACGCCACCTTCTACGGCGGTGGTGATGCCTCTGGCACCATGGGTAAGTACAATTAGCTCTGCCTAACTTACCAATTAAGCTCAACTGTCTCAATTTTCGAAGAAAGAAGACTAATTTGGTTGATTTTCGGTAATTAGGAGGGGCGTGCGGGTACGGGAACCTGTACAGCCAAGGCTACGGCACCAACACTGCGGCGCTGAGCACGGCGCTGTTCAACAACGGGCTGAGCTGCGGTGCCTGCTTCGAGATGCGGTGCGTGAACGACCCGCAATGGTGCCTCCCTCGCTCCATCATCGTCAGCGCCACAAACTTCTGCCCGCCAAACCCGGCCCTGCCCAACAACAACGGCGGGTGGTGCAACCCGCCGCTGCAGCACTTCGACCTGGCCCAGCCGGCTTTCCTTCAAATCGCCAAGTTTCACGCCGGAATCGTCCCCGTCTCGTTCCGCAGGGTTCCCTGCTGGAAGAAGGGAGGGATCAGGTTCACGATCAACGGCCACTCCTACTTCAACCTGGTGCTGGTGACGAATGTTGGAGGTGCAGGGGATGTGAAGTCGGTGTGGGTGAAAGGGTCGAGGACTGGGTGGCAGGGCATGTCGAGGAATTGGGGCCAGAATTGGCAGAGCAATGCTTACCTCAATGGGCAGAGTCTAACCTTTTCAGTCACTACTAGTGATGGGAAGACTGTTACTAGTAACAACGTCGTTCCTGCTGGTTGGCAGTTTGGGCAAACTTTCGAAGGCTTCCAGTTTTAGAAGAAATGGGAAATGAACTTTTACAGTTCGGCAGTAAAATTTTAGTGTCTGTATTATATATAAAATGTGTGTACTGCTAGATTAAGGTTTGTGTGGATAGTTAGGCTTGAGGTTTGCTCTTTGATTTGTGAGGAATTTTGGGCAAGCTGAGGTGTCTAAAGTTTAGCACCCGCTCTCAGCCTTCTAAATTCCTCTTTCTTTTTGTTTTTTTCTTTTTTACTAGAAAAGTTACACAGTTGTGTCGTATCGCAAGATAATAATTTATGTTAGTGTGTTTGTACTGTGAAAAAAGTTGTGGAACTAAAAGCGTTGAACTCATGAAAGAGGTGAGTTATGTAATAACAATTTTATATATATGTCCACTTTATTACATACTTCTATCTCAAATTTATGTTATAATTGATGTATCATTTCGGAATACTTGCTCCTCCTCCTGTCACTTCAAATTGATGAAAAATAAAAAGTAATTCAAATTGACTCAACCAAATTATTGCATTTCTATGATGTGCTGTCAAACGAGATCATTTGAACCAATTGCTTTATTTTGGGGCAATTAAAGCCAAATGATCTCATCCAATTGGAGAACTAGCAAACTTGGTGGGTACTATTGGTATGAATCATGAATAATCTTGCACAAGATCAATCAAAGGTGTTAAACTTGAGATAAACCAATGTCACATTGTACCTAAATCGTAAGCATCATGATTTAATTTAGCAAGCAATAATGGGACTTTGAACTTGAAGGATGCCTAATACAAATGATTTGTCCGCTTATTAATTTCTTATATTATTTCCGCAAGGAAAGATCCATTTTTGAAGCATTATATTAATAAAAAGTGCAATAAAATCAGGTGCATTATCAAACCGGCAAATTGACAGCCTTTTGTTTTGTTAGAAAAGCTGTCGAGATTTAGGGCTATCGACAAAAATGAAGTTTATTCAAATTTGTATATCAAATATGTTACATTTATAGACAGTATGGTATACCTACCACAATATCTAATTTTTTTATATATATTATCAAATCACATTATAGAATCTTAATTAGCTTCCTACTTATTATTATTTTTTTATGGGAACCTGTAATCACTTCTTATTGATCAATATTAATGGTTACATTGTCCATTGCTAACTGATCAATCAGAAAAGCAGAGGACTGTCAAGTCAAACTGATCGGACGTCGGCTCTTGAGTCTGAATGAGCCATGATATGGACGGCCTCATTTCCCGACCGCCTAACATGACGCCAACTAGTTTCTCTCATACTTCCCAGCAAACGTCAGACGTTTCTGCATATTACTCCTATTTCCGACTGGATATGATCCGCTCCCACCAGCTTTGTGATTGTCTCAAGGCTATCTGTTTCCACAATAACATTCTGCAGGTGGTGTTGGTGGGCAAGCTGCACCCCAAATTCAACTGCCAGTACTTCTGCCTCATCGACCGTCCATCTCCCCATTACCTTCTTTGCCGCAACCATGATAAACTCACCGTCCGGACCATGTGCAACCATCCCAAGTCTAACGTCGACATCGCCCTGCTTCGCTGAATCAGTGTTGACCTTCACACTCCCCGGCGGTGGGGGACTCCAGCCATCCTCTAACTGCGAGGCTCGGATTATGGTATTTCTTCCCTGTTCGGCCTTGTATTCTGCAAGAAAAAGCTCGGCTCTGAGGATGATGTCTTGTTCAGCTAGCTTCTGGCCACTAAACATTTGCGCATTTCGTTCCTTCCACAGAAACCATAGAACGACACACCACGCCTCCGGTTTCGAGTCATTCCTGTTATCCATAATACTTGCAACCCATTGGTAGCAATCATCAGAAGAGTTACAAGAGAAATAATCATCATAATTCGTCGGCTTCCAAATCCGCGTGGTCCAACTACACTCTCCGAAGAGGTGTTTTTGGGTCTCCTTCAAGTCACAAAACGGGCATTTGTCACATGCTTTCTTACTCTTTGTACTAACATGATCACTTGTAGCCAAAATGTTCCTCATAATGCGCCACATAAAATGCTTTATCTTAGGAGGGATTGTCAAGGCCCACAACTTCTTCCACGCCGCTATCTCCCCATACCCACTTTGCTGCTCCTTTTGGAGGAAGCCCTTTACCCAAACCTTGTACCCGTCCTTTATTGTATATATGCCAGACTCATTGGCATCCCAAATTAGTACATCCTTTTCCATGGAGCCACGTAGTGGGATTTGAAGCACTCTTTGGCCCACTTCGAGAGGGAGGCAGCTACTTATCACGTCCCAGTCCCATTGGTCCGTGATGGGAGAGATGAGCTCCCTCACCCTTGTGTCGACAAGCAAACCGCGAGGGGCTGCATCCACAAAGCCCATCTGGTTATTAGGGAGCTAGCGGTCACCCCAGATTCGTACATCAGCCCCATTCCCAATACGCCCTGGAGCCCAGAATTCAAGAATTCTTGGGAGCTCATCAAAATTCTCCAAATAAAGCTTGGCCTATATCCTACATAAGCATGCAGAATGGACGTGTTTTTGAAGTACTTTGCTTTCAAGATACGACCTATAAGCGAGTTCAGCCGTTGGTGAAGGCGCCACAGCTGCTTTGCCAACATCGCTGTGTTGAATTATAATATTTAAGCTGTTTCATAACATATTATTTGAAAAAAAAAACGTTGGTCCAATAGTTCAGTTAAGTGTTCAATTTTCGACTGAATTCCAGGTATGTTGAAGAGTTTGGCTACTGGGCTCATTGACCAAACAATAATCACCCGAGCAGCTCGTCACTCTTAATCGGAATGCGATTCGGGTTCGTTTTTTCGGATTTTTCGGTTTCGGCTTCGGTTTTGCTTATCATTTTTTTCAGGTTTCGGCTGAAAACCTCCAAAAAATAGCAATCAGTCCATATTCTTAGAAGTTCGCGTTGGTAGCTAATAGAAAATTGAAGGTTTGGTGTAGTAAATTTGATAGACTCGCGACCAAATAAAGTTTGCTTAATAATCATGAACTTACTAAGAAATAAATCGACATCTACAAACAATATTGTACCAGTATGTAAAAATCAAGATCAGTCTTCAGAAGTCTTATGGTGCCGAGGGTTTACAAAGGTTTAAGATAAGATGTATAACTTTTGGTAATTCATTTTTATTTTTACATATAAAGTTGTCATATTGGTTTTAAGTTGGCTCAACTCGAATAGTTGTGATTAATTTTTTTTTTTTATTTTCTCCGATGTTTTAATCGACATGTATTTTCTTTGATTGAACTCGAAATTTGAGAAATTTTACACAGACAAAACGAGGTTGTTGTGATCCACAAGTTTATATAAAATTTGGACATATTTTGAATTTTTTTATCCCCATTATCACGTGTCACCACCCTGATATCACTATATACCATTCATTTTTACCTCAAAACTTGTGGAATTTTTCCATAAATACCAATAAATAAAAAAGTTCAAAAAATACCACCCATTTTCAAAAAATTCCAAAAATACCACACTTTTCCGAAAACCGCTTGGGGAGGGCGCGGTTTTTGCTGAAAACCGCATCAGAGTGGGCAATCTGATAAAACGTTGGGGGAAGGAGCGGTTAAGGTGAAAACAGAGCCCCCCCCCCCCTCCACCCAGCGGTTTTTACCTTTTTTTTTATCAACTCCTAATCTCGCTGAAACTTCGAACAAACGTAATTTTGCGCTCGAGTATCCGTTTGTAGCGATTCTTTTTTGATTCCTCATAACTTTTCGAGATCTTGCAAGCCGCAAACCTCCTATGACCTACCTTCGTCCTGAAAAAACGTCGTTTGCTACTCCGAACGAGCAATTTTTTTAATTTTGTTATACTTTGCACGGTTATAACTTTGTGCTCCACACTCCGAACGTCATGAATTTTTTTTAATTCCGCATAACTTTTCAAAGACTACAAATCTTTTTGTTTGATCTAGTAAAACCTCAAACTTGCTTGAGGTAGCACATGTTGAAATAAAAAACAAAAATATATAATTCGTTAAAATTTACAGACAAAATTTAATATTAGGAGTAAAGAAAAACGTAAGAAAAATGAAGGAGTTGGTTTGGTGTGAGGAAATCTCTCTTGTTCTAAAATTATTTTCTAATGTCCATATTCATTAGAACTTTTTTCTTTAACTTCCCTTCTTATTCAAGATATTCAATTAAATGTTGAATCTAATCCTAACTCTGTGAACTAACAGATCCAGATAAGCCCAACTAAACCCAATTTATTTTGTAGACTAACCCAATTTTCATCTACAAAGGCCCAACAAGTAATTGTAGATCATCATCCCCTTAAATCTACACAATAAATAAAAGCCAAATGAGAAAACTTGGAGCCCCATTTCAAATTTCCTCTATTCAAAGTGAAAATAGGAAGAACATTTTGGTCTTCACAATTACTTTTTTTTATTCATTAAAAAGAGGCGTACTAGGATTCAAACCATGAGCACTTTAAAGTAAAGCAAAGATCATAACCAATCACACTAAGTACATTTGTTGTATCTTTTTAAATTAACAACATATAATAGCAAAGAGGAAAAATACTCGCCCCCATTTCAAATTTCCTGCTCCAGGTGTAACACACTACCCTATACGTATTACCTAATCATATTGTTCATACAATTGCAGCGGAAATAATCTCGGATGTTACATTAATTATCAAAATTTACCCAAATAAAATTTCGACATGAATTACTCGCATAATGGGCAAACAGTTCTTGTAACTAAAACCTGCAAAATAATTTATCTGAATCCATGCATTCAATGACAAACATATATACTAACAACCATATACATTGGCTTTCATAGCCATAGTCACAGTTTCATACTACACAACTGCATACTATACTGATACAAGCCATAATCGTCACAACTTACCTAATTACAAAAATATACACATATCATCAACTTTCCACACCTGTGGATATCTCACACTACATCAGAAGCTAGTATGCACATGAAAAACGTTCTCAAAACATTTTTACAAAAAGGTGTGGATCACTGGCCAAAATCCCTAGTAGTAGTCCAAGCACAGAATGGTTGAAGACCATACCTCATCTTGCCTTCAACTCTTGCTCAGCTCCCACCTATACACCTATCTACTGTTGTTGCTGATGATCTGCTTACACATAGCATAAGCAAAGAAGAAGAATAAAAGAGGGTCAGCTCATAGCTGAGTGAGATAATCATAGCATCGTAAGTTCATAACAGAGCATACCCCTATCATACATCTAACAATCAAGCCAAAACACTAGGATCGGACCTCAGCCATCCTCATATCCCAATAGGCAAAAGACTCAACCACCTTGACTTATGCATATGCATCTTATCATGTTTTACTTATAGGCGCCTGGCTACTCCCATGCTAATAACTCTCC